TTTTTTTTTCATTTCTAAAATATATAATAGAGTAGATCTCTAAAACTATTTTTTTCGAATGAACAAATAAAGAATTATCATGAAAGAATCTCTCCCGTTCCGATCGTTGAAATCCATCTACTTGATTGAACTCGATTTACTATCGATTTGTTATAACTTTGTCAGGTATTTCAGGAATTTCGATATATCGTTTTAACATAATATTCTATTTGAAACTTTAAAGAAATGCAAAAAAAAAGAATTCGATTTTTTGAAACCGTCAGGGTGGTGTAATTTTTTAAACGCGACAATTTTTGATCTAGCAACCGATTTGAACATTGTACATAATAATAGTAAGAAATTTATTCAAAAACAAGAGAAAAGATAAATTTTTTTTCTTTATATCAATTCAATTTAGATATTAGCCACAAAAATGTACAAGTAGTATCGTGAAAGTTAGCGCGATAAATCTTTCTCTTATATGTATCTTTTTGAATTTTTCTTCTGTTTATTGTCAAAACTGATCAGCCAGAAACCAATCTTGCCTACCCCAATTTGATATCTTAGCCGCTAATCACATCGCAACCCGTTCGACAAATAAGCAGGTTCAATGAGTTTCTCAATACAAATACAAATATAAACAGTCTACATAGAATCTAACAGGAAAGAAATAATAGTAGAATATAAATACCATGAGATCAATCTCGCGTTAACGGCCGAGTTTTCTGTTAAACCAATCTAACGCAAAATTCTATTCCTATGATTAATGGCTCATAGTTTTGAAAATTATTTTCAGATGTGTATCAAATTTCTATTGATTTGCCAGCAAAGGTGTGTTCTCTTCGTGAGAAAAAAAAAAAAAATTCGACTGTAGACGATTAAATTCGACTTTAAGAGAGTTGAAAATCCCTCTTCGCGAATTCTAATCAGTCCACTTGTCCGCTCCACTCCCAATGCCTAATGCCTTCGTGGGGAACACTTTCTAACACGCGGAAGTAGGAAGAAGAATGAGCGGAGAAAGAGCCGGGGAGCGAGAGAAAGAGCGGGATAACGCGCGTCGCGGTGCACGGGGAAAAGACGGGGAAAAGAGACGGAGATTGCCGCGATAATTGTGCAACAATCTATCTGGAAAAAGAGAGAGATGCGCACACGTGCGCGGGGCGCGGGGACAAGGGAAAACGCGGTCGGGAGAGAGAAAGCATCGCGCGTGCAAATTTCCTTCCTGTTCCAAGCCTCGCGCGTTACCCGTGGACCGATTGCATTTCACTCTCTCTTTCTCTCCCCTCTCGGCCACTCTTTTGTCCGCTCTCCCTAAATATACAACTACTATCATTCAAGACCGACATAGGCGTCGACGTTCCTCGACGCCTCTATTTTTCACGACATCCTCCAGTCGAGGGATATTTCCATCCCGAAATCTTTCCCGAATATCCTCGGGTTTCGAAGAGAAAAAGGGAGAACAGTGGGGAAAAAACAGTCGGTGCCTGGCCACATTTGATTCTTTAATTTAAAGATCAAGAAAGACTGGAGCAAGAAAACCGGCAATCTAACCAGCAAGTCGTGTTTACTTGCCTTTTCACGTAATACATCGGAATTTCCGTGTTACCGTGTCACTATCGCGGTGATCGTTTTGCTGTTACGTAAAAGTTCGCAATGAAACGGATCTGTTGATCTTAAAGTCACGATTTACCTAAACTTATCATTCAAATGTTATCTGAAATTTCATGTATGCCGAAAACAATAATTCACTGATTCATCATCACCTTCGAATGTATTGATTTATGACATAATTATCATTTTAACGTAAGATATGCCGCAGTTTTCAAAATTGTACATTAAATTCCATTTTTTAAATTCCATTTTTTTTTTCAATTTTATTAATCGCGTAATTTATTATCTCCTTTTTCTAAATTATTCACGCCACAGCAGATATCAGTTTGTAATTCGAATGAGATACTTTTTTGTTGATCGAACCAATCTTTCGCTGTTTCATTTCACCGAATCCAGAAAACTCGGCGGCAATTGCAATTAACCCATACGTTCGTAGTGGAATTATGTGATCGTTATACAAACCGTTATACAAGCGTTACCGTAAAGCAAACTTGCGCGAAGAGGGAAAAAAAGAAGAGAATAGGAAGGAGGGAAATAAGAAATCGCGCTGACGCCTTTGCCAATGGATGTCGCGACGCGGCGACGATGACGATGACGACGACGAGGCGCACGAATTAACCGAGGTGGTAACACGTGTCGTTACGTGTGCGTTAACGTAACGCGGCTATCGAGAGAGTTTAGTAGACGAGAAAAAGTAACTTACTCGAGAAAGTCGCGATAAAAGTCGACGTCAGCCATGCATTACATCTCGCTCCGTTTGTTGGTTCACACCCGGCGTATACAGAACTCGCTTCGAATGTATATACGAATGACGTGACATCGAGCTTTTGCAAATTTTTTTTATCTCATTTAAAACATGCCATCGTTGATTCACATGTTCAATGACATCGACAACGATACCGTTCAACAGGACTGAGAAAACCTCCATAAAAAAGGAGTAATAAACGAATGAGGAAAGAGAGAGAGAGAGACGCTTGATTTAATTGATTGCGAATATACGATTTATGTTTAAGCCTGAGATAAGTTTCAAGTAGGAGGAGTTACTTGAACTTTGAACACTTTAAACGGAATTATATGAAATTTTATTTATATTATCTAATTTTTATTTACATTCTAATTCTAATTTATATTCTAATTTATTTATGTCGTCGATTATCGATTGTATGATTTATATATCTTATCGTATATTTTATAATTTTTTATATATATTTTTTATATTATTTAATCACGCAAAATCTTTTTTTAATTAGTAAAGCGGCATTATGAGATGCTGTTTTTCAAATGTAAATTTAAGCACAAAACAATTAAGAAAAAATGCGTTGAAAAAAATGGAATTTGTTGTTGTTTACGATTTGTTTTTCTTATGCGATTGACAGAAAAAAACATTTATCAATTATTGCGTTTTATGTTGCAATTATATTACGAGAAGAAAGAATGTCTGTTTTCAGAAAAATGTTAATAAGATACTGGATATTTATGACTTTGAATTGACTTTGCATGTTTTTTTATGCATGTTTCTCTGTGATCCTTTTATTATTATTGTTTTCTTTTTTATTATTGTAAGAATATTTATAAACAAAATTATTTAACATACGACATTGTCCGTAGTGCGATTATTTTAGACTTTAAAATAGCATTTGAATTATCATATATTGATTAAATAAATAATCGAATATAATTAAATAAAAAATATATATCAACTGTCAATCCACAATATGATGAAAATGTAAAGATATCACGTATTTTCATGTTAAAGACAACACATACATATGAATAAACAAATGAAACATGCTTTTTAGCTTATAAAATTATACAGAAAAAGACAGTTTTACTGAAGTATCTAAATATTTCAAGTATCTAACATTTGAAAAAAATAATTTTGTTGGATCATAAGTAAGTAATTAAATAGTAAATTTAAAAAAAGCAATTAAAAAGTAGTTCAATAGTAATTAAATAGGACGCTTAAATGAGACGTTTAATTTGATGCTGGAAGAAATTGTTGCAGTGTATATCATCACACTTAAACTTACATAATAATTTTGAGCAACAAAATTATTTTCAGATCTGGTCTTTTAACTTTTAAACACCTCGGCAAAATCGTTCCTACCTCGTGTACATAGCGCTCGTAATGAAAGACTACGGAAGGTGTAATACACGTTTAATGGAGAAATTGAACGGTGTATTGCTTTCAGTTAATTGCATCGCACGCTTAATAGCTCAATCATAGTAGCTTATCTGTATGCATGCAGGCGGAAATTTAATTCGTTGCGCGGACGATGAGCTTTGATACGAGCGTTGAACCGATAGTAAAATTGCTAATACATTACCGGTAGAAATGAGAAGACCGTTTCCGAGCCAGGGTTGAAAGAATCGATACTCGGTGGATTTGTCGATGTAGACGTGGCTGGACAGGATGACCTCGACGTCGCGCGGGTCCATCAGGAAAACCAGCAGCTTCGGTCCGAGCCAAATCTTGATGATCTGATCGAACTCGAAGGACTTTCTGTACAAAGTACGAAATATGGCTGCAAAAGAAACACGGGGGTGCGTGTGATCAGTCGATGGGAAGTTACGTAAACGAGCTCGGTTATTTAATCGGAGCGTGATGATAGGTAATAATAGAAAATATGATGTAATCGTCAAATTAGCTAAATCTCAAAGTTGTGGCGAACATTGAAATAACGTTAATTGGCGATCTGAAGCGTTCGTGATTTCTCAACAAAGTCGAAGGTAATAATTTTATTCGTAAGACCCTTCTTTTTTTTTAAATTATTATGACAAGCTCACGAGAGATTTTTTTAATAATTTAATGATTTTGTTATTGATGTAGTAATTATTTTGTTTCTTGATACGATGAGAATTGAATATTGAATATTGAATTAGAATATTAAAATTAGAATATTGAATTAAATAGCCTAATTAAAACGTCATACGTATTTTTATTATATATTTGTATTTATATTTAATATTATTAATATTGTTATATTATATTATATAATTATATAATTATTGTCTTACTATCCGAATTTCCTAAAAACATTAATGCGTTTCCAATCAACGGCAGACCGTCTGGACCCGGTATTTGTTCTGCCAATTCGATCATGTGACGACGTGAAATCCTGAAGTAGATGTAATAAAGAACCAAAGCGGGTACAAGAAGGGCCAGGAAAACGGTAGATGCCGACAAGCCGGTAGACGTTGCAGATGCAACGGATCCAGCTATCATTTCCGGTTCGGCTGCTGACATGATTCCTAAAAGGAATGGACTTAGTTAGATTATAATTTATCTAATGACTTATTTATCAACGACCGCTAAATGCAAAACTTTGCGGAAAAGAAGAAAATCGGAAACGGAACCGAAATAATTAATTAAAATTAATCCTTTAATGGAGATCCAGCCGGACTAAATAAATCTTATTATCTTCTTGACCGAGAATCCCTTTAACTGACATCAAGAAAATCAAGAAAAATATCTATATCTAAAAATGTTTAGATATAGATATGTCTGTCTAAATCTTATTTCCATGACGAGTTTTGGGGATGAGAGAACGCCATATTTAGTCTATTATAAATTCTTACGTGATAAATTCTATGACGCTAGAAATAGATCCGAGATCTCAAATAAAAAATAATTACTAATTCTAAGAACCATTAAATAATTAAAATAACAACTGGTCGATCTTCCTCACATCCGAGATTTCATATCAATTTCTAGCACGATAGATACAAGATGTTAAAATAAAGTAAATAAATTAATGGCATTCTTTCATTCTCGTAAAACTCGAGAAAGTTCGCACGTAGAGAGAATCATCCCGAAATTAATAATGATACTTCATTTTTTGCAATCGCGACAAGTAATGGCTAGTCATTAGGATTATAATTTTCGGTTTCTATGTTGAAACACTGAAATCTTGAGTCCTTCAATTAATAAAGCATATTGTATAACAATATCACAGGCATGAAGAAAAATTGTGTAGGATCTTATTAAACGGCCGAATTCCGATTTTCTTAATCCATTTGTCGGCCAATTCCGATTAAAATTCGACGTATCTTTACCGCTTTAGTTCTTCCTCCCTTCAACACCCACCTATATGTATATGTACGAATACACGATCAAATAGCTTTTCGCTTACAACGCTAAACTGATCTGCTTGCCTTTCCGCGATCTCTTATAAGCGGCGCTTTCGATGACCACCACCACCGTGTACGATGCTAATAAACCCCGCCGACGACTCTAAGTGAATCTTTTATCTTCACTCTTTTCTCTGGGTCATTGCGGTAACCTTGCCAAGTTAATCAAAATACGTTTGATTAAAATCAGACTTCGATCCCCCGTATAATAATTTTGATGCAAAGCACGAAATGTACTTTGATCGAATGGCCGGAGAAATTTGAATAAAAGAGCAGCCTTTGTTATAAATTTTATTTCAACAAAAGTGAAAAGTCACATCTATTTCTTCGATTCAATTTTCAAGCCGAAATTCTTTTGTGTCCTATCAAATATTATCGACTGTAAAATCTTTTTCATCTTTCCTTTCTTGTTCAGTGAAAAATTTTGAAATATGCCAAATTACTACGTGACACGTAAAAGCACAATTCACTAATGTTTTCTATTCGAGACTATATAGGCATAGAAAACAGATTTCCTTAAAAGTTTTTAAACCTTAAGAGTAAACTATAAACATCTTTTAATTAAAGTAGTAGAACTGGATAATATCTATAGGTATCGCCAAGGCATTCGGACGTATTGGCACGATCACGTATTCGAATTCGTAGCTCTATTATTTCTAGGAATTTCAAACACCTTTCACAGAGATATTATTCATGTAAGAATAAATACGTATAAGAATAAAAATCGTCAGAAAGAAAAATTCTTTGAAACCGCCAAACAAAAGTAAAAGATCCCTTTTAAACTTACTTAAATACGTGAATTTGTTTTACATTTTCCAATAAATGCGTATGTGTTTTTCTCAGGTATTATCAAGTACGTATTCTAAGATCATACTTTAGATCTTTGTTTTTATTTTTATTATAAACGCAAGCTTGTCAGTAAAATCTAGTCAAATAATGAAATTGCTAAAAGTTTAAATATTTATAATTTTTAATAGAAGCATTTTTCAAACAAATGTTCCGAAAATTGTTCATAAAATTTATTTGTTTTTTTCTGTAGAATTCAAATATGTAATAATTTACAAGAAGTTCTATCTAAAATTATGAAAATTATTCTACGCTCCTCTTGAAGAAAGAACAGAGACGATTTTATACTTACATAGTTAAAAAGAATACATGATATTTTCTCATGAACAGTTTTCTGATTCGATATTTTTAAAACTGCTTGTCACTGACTTCAATTAACTTTACATAAGCCACCGTTTGTTTTTTTATTCATAGTTCATTTATATAATTTTTATAATGTAAAATGTGTTTATAAATTTTTAATAGTTAGCATATACAGTCATCAATTAATCATAATATTTAATAAGATACAATAACGTTCATAATTTATTATTTATTATTTATATTATCGAAAATTTGAATTCAGAAAAAGAAGAGAGAGAGAGAGAGAGAAAGAGAGAGAGAGAGAGAGAGAGAGAGAGAGAGAGAGAGAGAGAGAGAGAGAGAGAGAGAGAGAGAGAGAGAAGAAGAAGAAGAAGAAGTAA